TTAGTTCGAACATAAGTCGGCTCTACAAATTCTTACAGAAACTTCTCTTTAGTGGACTTACGATAACCATTACATGTACCAGATCCTATTATATAATTGTGAAGAGCTACTTTTACGAGTTTTTTTTAGATTTAAAATCACGTTTCAGGCCCCGAAATGTCTTTTTTGTATTACTTAACTCGGGGTTCATTTTGGGTGGGGGATTGGGGCGGTTGACTGGGTACTGGCACAATTACTCAAAGCGTAGTGTCCGTTGTAAAATATTTTTATTATTTGGGAGGACTTTTTGTAATAGGTTTAACGACAGTTTACAAGAAGAAACCAATAGTTACATTGACACTCCCTATACAAGCTATTTTCTTTGTAACGAAATTAACATCCATTGGCGGTGTTGTGCAGGTTTGCGTTTTGCAAGGTCAGGAACAAAAACTGAATAGGTATTTCCTTAGTAAATATATTTTGTGAAACTGTATGAGTTCCAGAGTTATGTAGGACCTTATGTCACAGTGTTGTATACTTTACGAAGCGACGTCAAGACGTATACAATAGTGACGATTGTAACTCCTAGCAAATAATTTCTTGTAGAACTTACACATGGTTGACTGTTTTTGGAGCGACTGTCTAAATAAACAATAGTCGAAGACCGACGTCGATTTTTAACTGCTCGGGATGTTACACGTGGACCCGCACGCATTTTTACTACCGAAGGTCTAACACGTTACCCAGCAGAGTGAAGCCAATAAAAAGTAGGAGCAGAAGGAGCCCCGAGCCATAGTAGCAAAGACGCACCGCAGATCAGGGAGGGGTGGTCTTCGTACCTACTCTTATACGTTCCTTTGGTGCTCTTCTCCTTTACTCAAAAATTTCGTTACCTGCAGGCACAAGGAGGCCTAGCAGTGCACTCTCGCTACCCCCCGGCCCAGGCAAGGACACACCTACTGGTGGCGGTGTTCGACTAGCAGACTGTCGTTCGGTCGAGACAGGGGCAATAAGTGTCTTTGGGACGGGTATGACGTTGGACACTCTGAAGTCTTTAGGCCTCGTAAAGTTTTACGTTTTACCCCCCTCAATCACCTAGCGGTCGACAATCTAGATTGTAACATTGCTACCGAATAACATCAAGATTCACGTGCAGAACGCGGACTCGTGGACAGGTCCTCGCACACCGGATTCCTTTCAAACTCATACATCAACTCAGTTCATATGGAATGCAGTTGGAGGTCAACCAATCACAGAGCTTGAGAACTAATCACGGGGTTTGTCAAACAGAGCCCATGGTGTAGTCCTAAACGATAGCTGGGGATTCTGGGTAGTGTAGTGTCTTCTGCCATCCTTTACTCCGAAAAAATATTTGTTTCTCCGAATCGAAGGGGAAAAATACAAAAGCATTGCACACAATTTAAACCAATCAATTTTGTGTAATTAACAAGGATAATCTGGTGTTTTTTAGTCGATGAGTAGTGCAGATATCACTGTAAAATCAATCGACAGTAAGGGGAATACTTACTTCCGGGTGTACAATTCTCCGTTATCCAAAGGGAATGGACGCTCACATTGCCTTTAAGGGCAGCCGATACAAACGAATGCCGTGCTTTCATGAGCGTCAAATCCCGCCGCAGATGGGAATACATTGCAATCAGTTGAAAGCTATTTGCGTCCCTTTATGAAGCTGAAGGAGCCTAGGAGCGTCACAACTGCACGCCACGGGACCCTGACCAAACGTCGCTCCTGGACGATTATGGAGTGAGAGTGTGTTGGCATAAACACCTTCATAACACACAAGAGGACGGGTAATAACCGGAAAAGCATGACATGGGACCTTTAAGTTAAACGGGAGAAATAGGAGAAATCAGTGCAACGAAAAAAATAAAATAGTCTCACTCAACCCCCAGTATCCCCCCATTGACAACAATGACAAAAGGTGCTGATATCTGGGGTTGTAAAACTCTGGAAACAGCCAAACTTGCTATCTCCTCCATTTGTTGTGCTAAATTAAGCTACCAAGTCCTGTTAACCTGTGAGGTAAAATTGCATTATGAATTAGGTTTCAGTGATTTTAGTACACTGACAAGTTAATTACTGAATATCAACACCAAATAGAAGCCAACTGTAAAAAGAACTATCTTTAAGTTGTTGTTCCTTTCCCATCCCAGTCAACCAGGCGTACATAAACTCAGTAGCCTTTCTAGTGGAGCCCTGCTTTCCATCAATACTACCAAATGTCTCTCAGGATGTTAGCAGAGAGATATTTTAATCCCCATGCACACTCTGCAGCAGGCTAGAGAGTGCTCGGTATAGGTCTCTTGGTGGGGACTTGTTTGTTTACACCAAGACTCATTTTCCTTACATCGGCCTCCTGCTGAAGCTGCACGCCTCTGGTTTAGTTATTCTGTTTCCGACAGGCCAACACAACTGGCGGCTAATGACTTCACACATGAGGGGATAGACGTGTTCTTCCCTCAGAGATGACCGCACACGACTCTATCTTCTCCGCTGTAGGCCTTGATTGTGAAAAGATTAATACATTTTGCAACCAGCTGGCATGCTCATTGGAGACCACAGGGTATGAAGGTGACCATTAATTACCCTGTTGGGTCTCACTTGTGCCTGTCTAATTGGTTTGCTAGTTTAATTAATGCAGGATTGTTCTGCATTGTTTTGCCTCAGTGCATCCGTGGCAAGGATCAGAAAACTCGTGGCCAAGCTGTCGGGCTGCAACAGTAAATAGAAACGTGATTGGTCTTGTGTAGAAATCTAATTTTATTCGGCGTTAACCAGCCAATGCTGCTATGCGGTCTATTGGTTTCACAGCCATTATGTTGCTCTTTGCTATTGACCCTCTCTGTAAACCTTCCTGCTCTTTTATTTTTTGAGAAAACAAAGTCAAGTCCTCCTTTAGGCAATAGGAAACTTCAATGTAATTTCAGCTCCTCTTGTATTGATCAAGATGCTATTGAACACAAGGCGATACCATTTTCTAACTAAATTCAAGATAAATGTTACCCTTTTCAACCAATACGGACATAATCTCTTTCTCCAAAGTGCTTCATTTAGTAGTACTTGTGGCTTTTTCAGGAAATTAGATAAGATGCCGGGATAATTTGTACTTGTTGGATATGCAAATCTCTAACCAATTATTTTTCCATCAACAGGGACAAAAAGGTCATGGCGGTCCTTCTGGTCTTCCAGCTGAGCCTGTGAGTACTTCAATACTCCGTAAACATGGCTACAGTGTAATTTATATCATACAATTTCTCTGTCTCCTCACCAGTGTACCATCAAGTTGTAATGTTGCTCTTTGGCTAAGTCGGTAATAACATATCATTTAATCCAATTTTACAAAATGACTATGGTAGCAGATAACATCTTGAGTGGTTACAGCAAACCCCAAGGTGAGATACATAGTTGATTAGCATTGTCTTAGGAGAGTGTTAATGTTATAACGAGGGATGGAAACAACCATGAGGCAATCGCAGTACATTTTCAAGCCTCTGAAAACAACAAAAATGTGATTTCTCTGCCTCCTTCGACACAATCCCTCCTCCGTCTCTTTGAAGTGTTATCATGCTGACTAAATCCACTGCATGCTGTTTGTCTGTCTGCTGGCTGCACTGTTAGCTGTGTGTCAATGAATGTTTACTTATCTGAAAGTAGAGCCAAGAGGCCCCAGAAACATTTCCCATGAGACTCCAGCATGTCTCTCCATTTATAGTTACAAGGGAAAGTATTAACACCGACATGTTTGTGGTATTAACAAAGAGATATGGGGTGGCGGGGACATTAGACATTAGACATTAGTTGTTTGGGAATCTTGTCTGGAATAGAGAAGGAGCCATTTTTGGCCGAGGTACAAGTGGGCTAAATAGTTTGGACACCCCGAGGTCATTCCTCTCCCTACTCTCCCTCTTTCCTGAGTCCAGATCCTGCGTACTATCTTTGAGAAGAATGTGCTGTGTCACAAAAAAAGAAAGAACAACTTTTCCTCTTCCAATCAGTTCTTTCTCTCTCGAGACAATATGCTATTTTTTGTGGAAAATCAAATTCCACATGGTTAGAGCCAGTTTATTTTGATGCGTTTTCTTCATACATTTTTTGAAATAAAAAAAGTAATTATTCTTAAAGCTACATTTAACTGGTGTCAATGTAAAATATGAAATATATAGTGCCTTTACCATTTCCAGAACACATACAATAAGAGTTTCCATGGCATATACACCACACCACCTTCTGCTTACAATCCAAAAATGCAAAAAATGACTCCTGTACAACTAAACATCTGTCAGTATTGAATTTCGATCTACGGCTCCCTATAAAGTCAACTATAAAGTGTCTGTTATATACAAAGTGAATGTGTAAACGAGGGAGTGATTTTGGACACAGCTCGTATTCACGGCTGTTGGCTTTCTTCCTCTCTACCTTTAACTTGTAACATTTCTACGTTTCTTTGCTCGCTACTGCCACCAACTGTCGAACAGCGGAACAGTGTGGTTTACATCCACAAAACATTTTCATTATCACCTTCTGCAGTCAGCAGGTTTGTGTATCAGCTATGTGGCTTTTTCAACACATAAGATGGGAACCAAACATATTTCTGCTTATCAAAAAAATAAATATGGTATTCATAAAACAAATTCATAAGCGCCCATTTTTATGTCGAATGATTAGACGTAAATGGTAAGCAGACTTTTAATAAACCAGATAATGTGTGGTTATTTGCCAGAGTCCTGTATCCTCGCTGGGCTTGTTAAGCAGAAATGACCTTGCTGTTTTACAATATTTTTTTTATTGCAGCAGTTTTTGCTACAGCTATTATGATTCTCTGTGGCATTCTACAACATTTTTCACACCATTTCTAATAATACATTACTATTTTAATCTCGTATAACACATTAATTATCTGGTTTTTGGCAGACACATAACTGTCGCCAGTGTATAATGAATGTGGCGAGCCTCAGCATGCCTTCACTAACTAATCCTGTTTTACCCTTCCCATACATGTAGAATTAAACATTCCTCTCGGGGGGGATGCATGTGGTTCGGTCTCACCACAAGGAAGGAATGACTCATGTGTTATTCTCTGCGTTGATGAGGATGAACATATTAAGGCAAAACTGCTTCACAGCATGAGACTCGACCGCATTATAATAGCTCATACTGTCGATATAATTGGTGCTAAAAGTGCTAATGTCTACTCTTTCCTTAGGCAACACGGAGGCGACCAAACAAAAGGTCTCTAATGTAAAGCTGACGGATTTAATTCTTCTTTCGGACAATTGACTACTGTTTACTACATCTTAATATTTCTTAAAGTTATACTTTTTGATTCCTATTATTGCAATCAGTGGGGCTCCAACAGACTCAAACATTTTTTTCCTATAGATGACCTTTTCCCTTCCTGCATCCTGCAATGCTTTCTCCCTTCCTTTTCCCTCTCTTAGTCTCCTTCCCTCCTCCGGTGCTGATTTCTCTCCTGTCGCTCTCTCCACAGGGTGAACGGGGAGATGATGGAAGCCCCGGGGCCAAAGGCTATCCTGGCAGGCAGGTGCAGTAAATCTAGTGTTGTGGTGCTGGTTGAGCAGGGCCACACACACACACACACACACACACACACACACACACACACACACACGGAGACACACACGGAGACACACACGGAGACACACACGGAGACACAGGGGCACGCATACAATATTTTTTTTTAAAGGATGCTAGGAAATCATATTTGTGGTGAATTCAGGGTTTATCAGTTGGTCTTTTTAATAAATCAAATTCCGCTTGTAGGTTTTTCTTTACCGTCAGAATGATAAATAAAATGGGATTATTGGGGGAATCACCAAATCCTTGTATGTATTCCGTAGCTAGAAAAATAATCAAATTTAAAGATATTGAATGCCGGCAGGAAATCTCAGCAATCGGCCTTTCTGTCTCAGTCTCATAAAAATCTAATTTTCGAAATCCAAATAAAGAGTTGGCTGCGCCTTACTAAAAGAAAAAAAAGCCCCCTGAGCTGTGGAGAAGTACCTGTGGTGTAATTTCAGAAACGCATGCCCCCGGTCCAGCGAAGAAATACAATGTAAAAGGTTTCCATAGTAAGCGCTACTCTGAAGAAAGTAAAGGTAATAAAAGTGTAACTAATGCCACAGCTCCCGGGGACAACTTGCTTCCTGTGTCCGTCTTAAATGTGAGATTCATTCTTTGGACCACTTCTAGGAGTAGTGTTTGAGTCAAAGCTAGATTGTCATTGACTTTCCTCTGCATTTAAAATGGGTTTCCTCTCAGCTTTAGACAAATGTAAACTCTGAAAACAGCCAGACAACATCTTGCTCACTTGTCCACTGAATGTTTATCTTAGCGTCGACTTCAGGCACGGGTGTTTGCCTCTGTGCTTTAGCACACTTACTGTGATCCCTATAGGCACTTAGTTGTGTGTGATGGATTAGGTTTGAGCACCCCCTACCATCTGTGGGCTGTGAATCACTGGTGCTGTAAGTTTATGTCAAGGCGGTGTACTCTGCTGTGGGGAGTTCTCCTGAGCTGAGAGTTGATCTCAGAAGTTGCAGAGACAGATTTTCTGCACTGCTGGATTTGCTGGCAGAGTATCTGAAAAATTAATGTGAATGCTGCTTTTAAGTATAGACACAGAAAATGCCAGCCAAGAGGCTAATTAGAAATGTGACAATACAAAAGTCTGGGTAAAGTCGCTCAGCATCCAGGAGCGAAAATGAATTTGTTATCTTTTATATTTTAACTTTTAAATGTTTTGTTGTTACTCAAATGAAGTTCTGCCACCGTTTGTAACCACAGACATATGTTTTGTCATGTATTACATTCAGGGTTTACCCGGGCCTGTAGGAACAATGGGGCCAAAAGGAGTCAGGGTAAGTAGATGTTGGAAATATTACATATTTGGCATCAATCTGTGTTATTAAACTCTTTAAAGAAGTACTGTATATTTCAGATTGTAAGGCTCAAAGTGTTAAAAGCACTGACTTTCTCTGTTTAGTTATATTTCATGTTCTTGTCTTGCATCCTCACTCAGCTGCCACTGAAAGCCACAGAGAAAAGAGGCACGACTCTCCTCTCTGTATTAAAGCTTCGGAACTTTCACTCCCTTAAACGAACTGTGAAATGCCTGCTAAGTGAATTTCCTAACTAATGTGGGTACATAAAATGGCCAGTGTCGTAAACGCCACTCTTCTGCCCTTGTTAACTCCATGATGATAACGACAGATGGTTTTGTTAGTAAAGTACTGTAAGAGCACTTAACTCTAGCTTTTTGAAAATCCTTTCCATGCTTTCTGTCCTTGTTAGCATTGGCCAAATATCATAAAAACTATATTGCTCACCCGCGGAACATAACTGTAATGCATTCAGACGTTAGCGTCTCGTTAAAATGTCATGGCTGTAATTTGTGCTTGTGCCCTTTTCGCCACTTTTCTCCAGTTTTTCCTCCTAGCAGGTTTGGCAGAGAGTTCTTCAGAGATCCCTGATGTGAGGGTATGTGCCCTTGGACTACATCGTGGAACCCAGCACCATGCAGTCCATGGGCATATACACTTTCCTCAAGGCTTGGCTCTACAACAACACTCCACCGTAGCAGATAGACGTCAGTGCTGTAACAAATGAATACTGCACAGCTGACATCTTTGAAGAGAGTTTTGAATACGTTAGCGTTGTTGTCATCTACCAATTCTTAATCACGTCCATCATCTCTGCTCAGTCTCATTGTCAACCTTTTTTCTGCTTTTCCATCTATCTTTGCCACATCTGTACGCCCTCTCCATCTTTCATTCATCTCTCTAGGGTCACATTGGCATCACTGGACTCTATGGCTTTCCTGGTTCTGATGGCGAGAGAGTGAGTATTAGTGGCTGTGAGAGTAAATGACCACTGGGCTGCATTATGACTGTCCATGGGAGAAATGATCAAATAGTTTTCATTCTGGAAGTATTGCAGGCACAGTTAATCAAATTATAATGTGTATGACGAGAGTGGCAGGCTCCCTTATACTGTATTGGATTACATATACCCCCTCCCACCCCACCCCTACTGTCCAGGTCAACATGCAGGAGTCGGGCACTTAAACCAAGCAAAGACAAACATTCCCATGAACCTCCAGGACAGTCTTTAGCATTGCTTGTCAAGGAGTGCATTTGTTCTTTGATTAAATCATACATCAAACTGTGGAATAGATTTCAATGAAATGTGTTAAAAAACGCATAGCATGGACCTCAGGGGATCAATTGCTTTGGTGAAAGCAATAATAACAGGTCACATTTCTACTATGACATGACAGTCCTTTAACTAATGAGGACATTCTGTCAGTCTCAGCTGCCCTTTAAGTTTAATACCGACATGGCATGGTACCAATCTAACATGGCAAACAAGTCATAGCGTAAATTCATTTGAGGCTTTGGCTGAATGTACAGGTCAATCTAATGAAGGTTGACCTTAAACCTGACAAGCTGAGCCTGAACTGTCCTAAAATGACCGTTCTGTGGAGGATGAACTTTTCTGATCTAGTTGAGAAACTCTCAAATCAAAGTCCATTTAACAGCAGATGCTTAGATTGTATGTGACGTATCATTGGAAACTGCTGTTGCAAAGGGTAAACAGGCCACAAATGATGAAGGGATGCAGTGTTTCCCACAGAATTTGATTCTATTTGTGGGGGGCACCGCACCGCAACCCCCCCCCCCCCACCAGCCCACCTCACTATCCTAGACCACCAAAAAAAATAAAGAATAATAATATTTTTTAATTTTATTTATGAGATCCATTTGTGGCGACCCGCCACAAATAAATAAATGTATGGGAAACACTTGGATGGAAACATATTTCTATGTTTTGATTGTTTTATCTTACATATGGAGCATCATAGCCTCAAAGGGCTGATAGTGTCTGAGGAAAATATATTCATATATGTTTTTACATTTTGCACTTCTATTGCTTATGTAGCTCCTTCTCTTTTCTGTTTCCAGGGAATTCCTGGCGTTCATGGGAAGAAGGGCAAGATGGGTAGGCCGGTAAAGTTTTCTCTCAACATACTTCTCAGAGAACATTTTTAATGCAGCCTCATGAAAGTGGGGGTGTTTTGTCTTGATCTATGGACTCTTACTTCACTGAATAGCTACTGTAAGGTGTATTCAATGAGCATCTCTCTGACAAAGACTATAGTTCAGTGTGAAGCCCCTTCTGGCCCTCGCTGTGAATCTGAGAGGAAACGTTGTACTTCCATTTTGGCAAAGTGATGCCCGAGATTAATATAGGGATTGATAAAAGAAAAATAAATATGCACTTTTAATAATTCAACAGAATGTATTGGAAACATAAATGATCACGTGTCAGCAGATTTAAGATCATGGCCTCATATTAAAGTCAGTGACCCCTTATCTATAAATCTTGTAGGGCACATTTTCTCTTGCTGAAGTTTATTAGGTAACATTGAATGTTATGGAGTGTGCTCATTACTATGCTTGTTTTGCATGAGGCTGGTATAATAATGCGATGTGTCAGTTGTGGGTTTGGCCCTTCCCACAGATCAGGGAAGTATATCTTCAATGGCGCCTGGAAGGACATTTCCCATCCTTCCAGGCTGACATGGAAAATACTTCATAACCACTCGTGTAAATCTGCTTTTCTCCCAGCCCGAGTCTGGTTGCACATGTTCTCTGATATTATTATGCAGCAGCGGTCAGTGACATAGACTGGTTCCACAAAATACAATCACAATAGCAAAGTTCAGTGGAAAACAGTTATCTTCCTCTGTGGTGAAAAGTGGCCATGATTCAGACAAGAAGTTCCTTTTTCTGTCCTGAGTCAGCAGTAATGCCGCTTAACAAAATCTGGAATAGCAAATTCTGCACTGTATGTATTTGATTGTGTTTTAACAGCTCTCTCGTTCCTCTGTTGACATTATGAATGGCAAGTAGGAACGTCTTCCAGTTAAAAAAACAAAAGATAAAACAAAAAATGATCAATGCTATTGTTTATACATAGCCCAGTGGCATAATTTCCATCCGACTGATCACATAATGAAGTGTCTCGCTTAAAGTTGCCGTCAGTTAGAGAACTAAGGCATGTGTTTCTGATCAAACCAAGTCAGCATTGAGATTTTCCACATTTCCTGAGGCCTCATGTTGCACCCATTACTGCTCATTACTTTGTCCACATTTGCCTAATGTTCTAAGTCAGCAGTCTGCCACACAAACAATCCCATCGTTGCCATCTCCTGAGGTTCTTTTACTCGATACTTCTCCTCCTCTGTCTGCAGACAGACGACAAGATATCTCTCTGCTATCTGCCATTTCTCATTTGTCCAACCACGGCTTTCCTTCTGTAGGCGAGTGCTGAGCCGTGATGTGAGTTGGTTGCATGTTGACCTTGGCCTAGCGACAAGCACACGTCGAGCATGTGGCCTCGCGGCTGCATCGAGCCTCTTGTTCTGCCTCTATAATGGAATTACAAGCGCAAAGCAAAAAAAAGGACCCAGTCATCAGTTTCTGGGCCAAGCAGCTTTGTACGCCATTTAGGCGAGTCCTGGGGGTTTTGTGCGCGTGCTGCCAGCGCGTGCACAAACAGAAGCTTGGTCGCTCAGAAACACTCAGCCGTGGAATTTCCTGCCGGTCTCCCAGGAATGAAGAGCTGGAAGTGCGTTTTAGAGGAGTTGCTTGGCTTTGCTCTGAAAACTTCTGTTTTGGGAAAAGTGTTGTTGCTCCTCTGTGCATGCTGCAATAACATTACTGACAAATCCGGGGATATCTTACAAATTCAAGTGTTTTGATAGCATGAACATGATGAAGCCACTCAGTTACCCCTCTGGTTTCATGGTCCTGCTGTTTGTTTGTGTGCTCAGGGGTTTCCTGGTGACTTTGGAGAGAGGGGACCTCCTGGCCTTGATGGGAACCCAGTAAGTTGAATTATGTACATGAATGCACTCATTTATTATACCCTTTTGCCACAGTGCAAATCTTCACATGTGGTTCAAAAAGACCTGACTGAGATTTCACCATATTTTAGACATGGCACATTTTATTTAAAAATGGCAGTACATGTAGAAACTAAATATAATGAAAAGAAATGGAAAGTACACTCATTAAGGTACAAAAAGTGGAAACATTACATGTTACTTGTTAGACGCTTTTATTCAAAGCTACTTACAAACTCAATACTGTGGGCAATCCCCACAGGAGCAATTTGGGGTGAAGTGTCTTGCCCAGTGACACAACAACATGCTGACTGCAGTGGGGTTTGAACCTGTGCTCCCCTGATCCCAACACCAACGCACTATTCCACTGCGCCACACGCCTCCACAGTACAAATAAATAACTCGGTCCTCACCTACTGGAGAACTGTTTTACAGAAAGAACCTCATATTCTTGCTCCTGACTGTCCCCCAAGTCTCAGTCATTCAGTAACTCTCCCATCATAATCCATACAGATATCTTTCAGGGCAGCTTCAGCAGTTTCTGTCTTCTTCCTTCAGTCTGACCCTTACTCCTCATGATTGACAGGGTCAGTGTTGGATTTTGATTAGCTGACCTCTGAGGGCCTCCTCTAGGTCTCATTTCCTCTGCCTCCAGAGAGAAGAGTTGGTTTTCCATCAGGCTGAATTCATCTCCTTTCATTCATAGAGGAATAGTAGGAAGGCGACAGGAAAGCCACACTGGGCTGTGTGTCATCCCTCTCTCCTCTGGGTGTGTAGCTGGAGAGGATGTAGTCATGCGGATGCAGGGTAGATCATTTGGAACAAGCCTCTCAGTGTTTTCGAGTGCCAAGGGTTCACTCACTATGCTGAAATGAGTGAGGAAACTATACAAAGGCTATAAGTGGATAAAATAAATGGAAACATACTGTTAACTTCCATGTGTACACCTCTGTATGAGTGTGCTTGTGTGGCCTCTTTTCTTCATCTCTCATTCTTTGCCTTCTGCTTCCTCTCAGGGTGACCTGGGGTCTCCTGGCCCATGTGGAGTCCATGGTCTCACTGTGAGTGTTCGGGGATCCTTCTTTTTGATTTAACAACTTCATGTTTTGTGACACTTTGCTAACTTTTTTTAATGTTGTGTCTCGACGTTAAGCACATAGAGTAGATGTTTCTTGTCTTTTAAGAGCTCCCAAAATTACAAATGAATGCATCTGGACATTTTGCCTTTTTTTGTTGTTTTAGTTTAGTTTTATCACAGTATCTCAGTTTACACATACAATACCTTTACCAATGAATGTAAACATAAACAAAATAAAACTTAATGGAGACGTTTTAAATATTTTATACCAGGATAAACCTTAGTTCATTGGAAATATATTTAAAAAGAATAGAGAAGAGGGGAGGACGAACAGTATCAGGCATCTATATATTCAAGTACATACATTTTTTTATAAGAAAGGTTCAAATGACACATAAGCCATAAATATAAGGAGATTAAAAAAACTTAAATTGTGAAGACGCAGAGAATTCAGCTTTACATAATGTGTGCTTTATGTGTTCATGTGTGCAGGGAGACATGGGCCCAGAGGGCATTATCGGCTTTCCAGGGCCACCAGGACTGAAGGTAAATGATGTGGTGTTGTAGTTATGTCTCTGTCAGGTTTTGGTATGTATCCAATGTAAAGTAAGTGGGATTTGATTGATTAACCAGAAATGTCTCCCAGTTGCGGTTGAGCTCTCTTTGATGATCAGGAGTGACAAGTGGTTGATGATTAAATTATTCCAGAGCCTGAGTATGTAATTCATGTTGAACGGGAATACGCCCAGCCTGCTCATTCATCATATTGAATCTTTAATCTTGTTTTTTCCCCGAGGGAGTACCTGGAAACCCAGGGGAACCAGGACTGAAAGGTGATAAGGTGATCTGCACACGTCTTTCTCAATACTCACCTGCTATGTACAAGAATGCTAAAGGCGACAAATCACTTAAATGTATTTCAAACTCCTCAGAAAGCTAACACCATAAGCCACGGCTTGTAACGCAGCATTTCTGTGGTGCGTGATGATCGAATAACTTTTGAATAACATTCATGTTTTTATTTCATGTTCTTTTGTGTTTTTTTCAGGGGGATGTTGGCTTACCGGGGGAGCAAGGGGAGTACGGATTCCAAGGGGACAAGGTAAGTGTGTGTTTGTATGCGCTCAGGTGGTATGGGGGCCATTTTGGAAAACATTTGATTGATGGTTTAATGGTTTCTCCTATCTGCATGTCAAATTGTCCTTTGACTCCAGATGGCTTCATATGATTAGATATGTTTTCCAACCTCAATGTCTTTAGGCAGCATGTTCATGTGTGTGTTTTATTGATTTTTGATGTTCTTGTTTACATTGAGCTCCCTTTTCCCCAGGGTATTCGTGGCTTGCCCGGTTTGCCAGGTCCTTGTGGGAAACCTGGTCTGCAGGTATTTTTCCATCCCACATTAAAAATAACCCAAAAGTTGAAAAACTTGTTTCTGAAATCCAAAACCTCCATAAACATCTCATTAATACATTACAACATGACATAGCTGACTCTACATAAAGGTAACACCTTAGTTCCTTAGTTCTAAGTAATTTATTTTCATTCTCAACTGAAAATGAAACCAATTTGGTTGCTTGTATGTTTTCAATCAGTCTTTAATACATGAACATAAAGTACTGTCTATCTAATGGAGCTCAAAGTAGACACAGCTTCTCTAAAATGTTTTTGTGAAGTCTATTTACTTGTTTTCCCTTTGCTGCTTCAGATAGTAATTGTGTTGTGAAAGCATAGTGGTGTGCTCAAAGGGCAAAGTATTCTTAGGATTCCCCCAAGAAGAAATACTGGTGCTATTGAAATATATTTTTTGAGAACTTCAAATGTATACACAGCAAACTTCAGGCACTCATGTATGAGGGGAACTTTAATCTGAGAGATGTATGCAAATCTAGCTGTGGCATAAACAATTATGCAAATAGCAAAGCTCTGGCAAATTCTCAGTGCATATGCTGCCTTAGTGTTGAAAGTAATCCACCAATGTTGGCACTTTGTCCTTAAATGCAAAAATACATTTCGAATGCTCTCTAATCTGATTTCAGGAAATTAGATTTCCATAACATGCATATGCAATAAATGACCTAGAAATTCACAAACAAGATGCATTTTTACAGATGCTGTAAGGCAAATGTCTTGTCATTTTCAAGGTTGGCAAATCATTTTAGTTTTCTGATCTGTGTGATAACAGTAAGATCATTTGTTGAAGGTGAGGCTTATTTGAAACCAGTGTTCTAGCACCTAAAATGTTTTGGCCTTCAAAGCTAATGCACTCGCAGATTCTTTGTTTGTATCTTCATGGTTGATGACACTTATTGTAAGTAGCTTCAGACAAAAGCGCTACCAAATAAAAATGAAATGTAATGGACTTTTAGGGCAAGCCTGGTGAAAAGGGCCCGGATGGTTTACCTGGCCCTCTTGGCCCAGAGGTAGGATATATACTATTACATTTTGATGAATTATATATATGTTATTCCTTGCTGATGCACGGTTGAGTGCCACTGTGTTCATTTCCTGTCATTTTCATAGGGTTTCCCAGGTGACATTGGCCCACCAGGAAAAAACAGCCCTGAAGGATCCAAGGTCAGAATGACATTAGGTCTTTACGTATTAACTGTCAGTGAGTTGAAATGAAGTGAAAGTTCACGCTGTGTTTAATCCCCAGGGAAAACAAGGGACACAAGGTTTGCCAGGTCCAAGAGGAACACCTGGACTTCAGGTGGGATTGACTTATTTTGAAAATGAATAAAAGATCACTTCATTCCCTGACCTTAAGTGACAATTCTTTTTTTTTCAGGGCGATGAGGGAAGAGTTGGGCCCACTGGACCCTCTGGACTCGAGGTGAGTGCTGATTGGATAAGCCCTGCATCTCAAGACCCGTTGGAAGATACAAAAACACATTTTATTGTGTTTTCATTTAGGATCCAAACTCAACAGCACAACACTTACTATGCACACATGCACCACGTGCCTCTGCCTAAATGTCGCTTTGGAACAATAACTCTGACCTGTAATGGTCGGTTAGTCTTTTGGCAGACCGACGTCTCTATTGTTCTGAAGCTGTTTTGAAAGACTTCCTATTGGACACCAGATTGGTCAGCAAATTACTATTCTCTCTTCTAACACCAAACAAACTAAATTACAAACAATAACAAACAGATCCATCTGTCTTCTAAATGTTCTTTCAAAATACAATTGTATAATGTTATTTATTTATTTATTTTTTTCAATATTTTATATTATTAGCGTCTCGACATATTGGATAAAGATTCCGTTCAAGACAAACTTAAATTTTTAGAAGAGACAAATAGGATGGCTTTCCAATGCTCTGCAGTATGACCACCTCGGTCTGAAAAAACTGTTTTTGTTTGGAGTCACCCCAGGCTAAAGAGCTTTCCAATCAAACTATATATTTTTGTAACATTTGATTCCAGTCTGTCTTCCTCCAAAAGTGAAACCCACAAGTGATTACTGCAAACAAAACCAAATGACCCAATGACTTCTATGGGTAATAGGAAGCCTTTGATGCTGCTAACGGCGCTCTGTTTTATGGATCATTAAGTTTCTTAAAAGGGATGTTTTTGTTTCGGCATCAATTGTTGGTTTGTTTAGTGCCGTGGCCTCTGGAGGGACAGAAGACTCACACACTGCACCTTTTTAAAAGAGATATAGAGAGTTTGTTGTTTATCGTGTGGAGCCGCAGCGCACTTCTTTGTGTCATTTTCGCTTTCTGTTCAGGGCAGGCCGGGGAAGCAGGGATTCCCAGGACTGACAGGCCCAGATGGACTCAAGGTCAGACCTAACATTCACACATCCACCGCCGTCACAGTCATCCTTAACAGAACATTCTCTCCACGGTTTTCTTTTGTGATAATGTTTCATCAGAATATGTGTAAATTAGATGTTAATTATTCGTTACCACAGGGGAACGAGTCTCCGAGCACATTTAAACTGATTTGAACTAAAAAAGAAAGGCTTGAATACATTTGTGATATGCTAATTGGCTGCTTTGCTATAGGGCGAGACCGGGATAACTGGCGAGGTTGGAAAGCTTGGCGAGAGGGTAAAGGCTTTTCTCTCCTCTTTCTGCTGATTTCTGTTTGATGCTCACTGTGTGTCTGTTTAGTTGGAGTCCTAAAGCTGTGGACTATTATGAGAACTTCACTAGAGCTCCGAATAACAGAGAGTTCAAATCAAATTTGCTTTTGTCTTTAGGGATTGCCTGGTTTTGTCGGGCCTGTTGGAGAGACTGGCATCACAGGAGAAAAGGTGAACATGCTCGCAATTTGTCACACTTTAGTATCAGAAAGTGTTGTCAATCAACCATCTGTTAGATTTCTCTCTGTTGATGTAGCATGTTACTAGTTCAGAAACTAACGACTAAACATCAAAGTGTTGCTGTTAGCGGCTTCTCAATTGTGCAGATGTGCTCCTTTTTTACATATTGGTCCATTTAATAACATACATTTATGCCTGTTGGTTAGATAAAACCAAAACAAACCTCGAGGCTCTGATAAATTGTGTTTTGACTGAACATTTAAACATTGCATCTATCAATTCTAAATGAATGTTTTTCTAATTGTTTTTTTTTCTTTTCAGGGTGACCGAGGGAAAACAGGAGCTCCCGGGCCTCCAGGTGAAACGGGGCCGATGGTAAGGAGTAAGTCTGGATCCCATCTCGTACCAGGAGGCATTCAATTCTACATATGTGTATATATATATATGCTATATTCTATATAAGCTGTGACATGTTTATACAAACTCAGTATGCAGTATTAATTCAACTGTACGGTATTTATTTTTACATTCTGTTTATTTGATTCTATCTTATATGTACATATTTTTTATTATTATATTTATTTCCTACTTTGTCTTTTTTTAAATTTATTTTAAGTGTTTTGTCTGTTACATTGTTGGAGAAGCCTACAACTAACAACCACGCTGTAGCTTTATAGGACATGTTAATATATGAAAAATAAGGTTATTTAACAAAGCTGTCATACAGGCAGATAGCATAAGGTCATTTATTTGATCAAATCATGTAGATATCATTTGAGTAATGTTGTGTTCCCCAGGGTCACACCGGCATACCTGGAGAGGCGGGGCCATCTGGACTGCAAGGGATCCCAGTAAGTTGACTTAAGTTAATTGTCACAACTATATATTTACTGAATATAAACCATGGACTAAATTGGCCTGCTGGAGGTCTACATACACTGTAGCACTTCTATTGCAGCTTACATCGTTGTCATGTTGTACTGACACACCCTAAAGTTCATATCTAACTCACTGCAACAAAGTAAAACATTGAAGTTCATTAAGAATAAGACTTTTAACTAGTGTTATTAACATATCCATTATTGAATCAATATATAAGTCCAACCTCTATGAAGGCAGTTTTAAAAAAGCAGCCTTCGATAGTAGAGTTTATATTAAAAGACTAAACTTCTGGATACAGGTTCAACTTACTACCTGCAATAATATTAAAAATGACACAGAGGCAACGGTCCCTCGTATTAAGAGTCAAATGTTAACAATATTTTGTTACACTTTAAGGGGCCTTCTGGTTCACCAGGATCCATCGGCATCAGAGGACCCAAAGGCAGAAGAGTAAGTAACTGAAATCTGTGATTATATGAGCTGACGTGAAACTACTGTGTGTCACAAATGAATATAAAAAACATTACAATCCACGCCCAATCTAGCAGCTTCAGTTCAACACTCCCGACAACATTTAAATATGTGAAATGCTTTTGGATGGATCTACATTTTGACATTCATGGTTCCTCTTTTGTGTCTGTTGCTAAAAAAATCTAATTTGAGCTTACAGGCTTAACTAAGTCCTTGAACATGGTAAACGTTATGCCTGCTAAACTTAATCATGATAGCAATATCATTGTGAGCATGTTGCCTGGCTGTACACTGTTTTCCGTTTCTTTTTTATATTTTATACCAAAAAAAATGTTGCTCTATCAGAAATCTTTTTTTTTTCATTCTCATCAGCAGCAACAATACTTTATTTCACCTAATACTGAACTAGAGATAAGATTTATTTAGGCTTTAGGAAACAAAGTTATATGATTGTGTCTATACTTATATTAACATATAAGTTACTTACATGCATTTTAAAATGCTTCCTACAAATCACCCTGGTGTTTCTGTACATGTGAATGAGTGCTGCGTCTGCCATGAGCTCAGGATGACTCCAGTGATTGCTGGCTTTTCCATAATTGGGTTTCTACTTTGGAAAAATAGCCCATGGTTGTACAGCAGGATCATTGGACTGAATGAATAATTGATCTAACATGAATAAGTGGTATAATTAAGGCATTTCGTTCTTATTGGTTTTTACACGGCTCCCTTGATATCACAAGCAGTCACAAATGTAATATTTAATGACTTTAATTGCTGAAAAGGACATCAATGCTTTGGAAAATGAAATTAAAATCTGCTTGATAAACTCCAGTCTCCTTATTACACTGTCTGAACTCATTCCCAGTCACATGAATGGGGAAAAACCAGTAACAACCTTTTCCTGCAGCCACATTTTTGTAATTTAAAAAAAGGATTAGGCTATACTTTGTGAGACACATTTTTAAGTACGGACAGCTTTTTGGAGGATGTATCCAATCATGTTACTTCTTCTTTCTCTAATATCTTCTTATAGTTATATATTTTCAGCTTGACAAGGTTAAGTCATACGTCCGTCATACTTCAGCATCATGTTACCCTGTCAATTCAATTTTAAAATCTCATGTTGTCATTCAAACTGAATCTTTTGAATTTAAGCTCATTTTCAATGTTCTCATGCAAAAAAAAGTCCTTAAATTGCTGCAGTAAAGGGTAACGTTGTGAATTTCCGGCTAATGTGCCTGTTGAGTGTTCTGAAAAACTGGAGTCCGAGGGAGGGAAGTTGAAGTTATCAATCTCAATTTAATTTTGAATTTGATTGAATGCATCAGTGAAGATGCAATTTAACATAATTCCACTACAAAGTACAAAACTACTAAAAATGTGTTCAGCTCTGGTTTGCTTTTAAACAGCATTTAACTCTTTCATATCGGAAATGATTAGATTTGTGTTGTTTGCGTTGCAGATTTGACATCCTTTTTATCGAGAAAAAGGTTCCATATTTTAATATTTGATCCGGCTAGTGACTCTGTTACAGCCTTATCATGGGATATATCTAAAAGGAGGCTCTGGAGTAAGACTGTAAATACATTTGAAAACTAATCTGAGAAAAAAAAGCAGATTGTCAATCCAGCAGACAGGCTTTTTATTTGTCCTTTTCAGTCTCTCATATAAAGATGTGAGATATTTGATTGAAGATGATGCTAAAAATGAGAGAAAATCATAGAAAGCATGAACAAGTTATTTCTCAGTGGGTATGTAATGGATGATATCTATATAACAACAAAAGCCAGTGAAAACAGGCAGAAGAGGTCCGCTTTATGTATCAAATTATTCGATTTACTTTTTGGATGATCAAAAAGCGTATTCAATTTAATTCATATTTTTCACATCATGTTTATAACTGTCATTGGATGTACGCAGCGACTATCAGAAAAACTAATGTTTCCCTCTTAACCAAACTCTTACTAATTTGTAGGCTAATACAAAGCAGCAATGGTCATTTCAAGGCCTTGTTTTTGGAAGGAGCGGTATTCTTCTCTGACTAAATCTCTTTTATATACGATGCCTACATAATAAAGCTTTATTTATATAGCAAAGTGCTTCACAGAATGACACATCACAAGTTAAAAACAAACAACAAGAAATTCCCCTCAGATTATTTACAACATGACATCGGAACCAGCAAAATACCCTTTAATGTTTTCTGACAGGGAATAGTTTGGTTCAATTTCAGAGGCTAGGATGAATCAGCTGCAGGACCTTTTCCAAAGGCCTCTTTACAATCACCCTACTGTGCCACAGTGTGTCATTGTGGAAAGCTGGGGGCAAAGTGTACACTGTGGATTGGACTAATTTCCAGATGCCAAGCTTTTGCAAAACAGCCACAATCTTTGATGGTGTCACTCACTCCGATGTGGGCTAACCCACAGTACACAATGAAACTGAGAGAACTGCCTCCCAGGATCCACTAAATAGACAAAGATGGGGATGAAGTTCCCTGATTCATTCACCCAATATGTTAAACAATGTGTGCAGCTGTTAAAGGCCACATTGTCCCAAGCTTTTCATCAGTGACAACTTTCATTTCTCTCTACAGGGTCTGCGGGGTCCTGATGGCCCAGTGGGGGAGAATGGGTCTGCTGGAGTGAAGGTGAGCACATGATCAGATGAAAACATTTTCAGAGATTCAGATTTAGTTGCAGTTTGTGGCTCACTGATATAGTTCAACTTTTAATGCCAAACTGCTTGAGAGAAATGTTTAGCCTTGTACTTCCTAATTGCTCACATCAAATATATCCCGCAGAAAGCTAGGATAAACAAACTGGCTCAAGTTTCTGAAAAGTAGGAACAATGAAGCAGCTTTGTTGAGCAGGCCTTTGTTATTTACTATTTTTAACTTCTAAAGAATCTTTAGAGGACACTCTTTGTTAGCTGCAAAATTAGCAACATAAGCTTAAATCAAAGAGCACTGAAATATTGATGGTGCTGGTTGGTGCTCGGCAGTCGGGAACATTTTGACTCTGGGGAATTTCAGAGAGCTCAGTAAACCGAGTGTAATGTTTTCTCTCTGCAGGGCATCGATGGTCCACCAGGAAGATTGGGCCTCTCTGGGGTGGTGGTAAGAACAATTTGACTTATTTAATTTCCCCTCTGAACTGAAATGACAGTGTTAGCATTACAACACCTTTTTAATGCTGGCTACATGTGGCCTTTTGAAGTCCACAGGGAATTAGTATCTGGGATAAATGATGCTGATGCTCATATACTCGGGAAGAGTACAACTACATCTCATTAAAGCATGCAAAGAGTTAAGCTTGATGTTACATTTATAACATGATCATCTTACTGTTATTTATTGTTGCCAAACTATTTTGTGCATCATCGACTCAGTAGTGGGCTTCTAGAGATAATCAGTGCACAATTAGTCAAGAAAGTATGTTAATTATAATTTCATAATTTTCATCGGTGTGACAATTATTAGAATCATTTGCTGAAGTTAAAGTAGCAACACCACAATATGAACAAGGTCTATGAAGTAAAAAGTACAAATATTATCGGCAAAATATCCTGAAAGTAACACAAATAAAAGTACTAAAAAAAAACAAAAAAAGTATTTATTACATTTAAAGGTGGGGCATGTAAGTTTGAGAAACCGGCTCGAGATACACTTTTTGTTATATTCCACGGAATGCTCTTAACATCCCGATAGCAATGAATATCTTAAATGCTTTGACAATAAATCCATACAAAAATGTCATCTGTGGAAGCCGTAGTACTGTAAAAAGCACGACCAATCATTTGAGCCGGCTAAAATAACTGGATGGCCTACCTGCCTGTCAGCCTTGCAACCTGTGCACAAACTTATCTGGTGCCCTCATTGTTCATGTGCGCTTTCGTGTGTGTTGGAGGAGGGGCTTTGTAAGGAAGTGGCAGATTTTTTCCAGTTGTGTATTTTCAAATTCTAGCGCACTCGAGCTGGTTTCTCCAAAATTACTTACCCCACCTTAAATGTTTATTAGGGTCTGAGACCTAGGTCAGCGAAGACCCTATTGAAATCGGTCGCACAGCGACCGATAAACTGCGAATAACACCCAAAAACAGGGAAAACGACCGGCAAAAGCGCAGAAAAGGTTCGGAAATCATGACGGCTGAGAGGCCGCGCGAGCCCAGTCACGTGACTGCAACTCGCATAATTGATATCGTTACGATCAATTTAGTCGCTCGCTTCGCGAGCGATAACCAAGCAAAACCCACAAAAAACAGGGAAAACGAGGGGCAAAAGTCCATTAAAAGTGGCCTAAATCATGGCAGTAGGTAGCCCATACGATCTCAGATTTCACGTAGAGCTGTTGAGGCATGGACCGGTGATATAAAAGTGAAGATTGGGGGACGGTGGGACCGTGTCCATTGGAGTTACAGCGACACCGTGTTTTATGGCGAAGGATGGATGGTAGCCATGGTAACGCCAAATTAAGTAACATCAGATTTGACCTAGATCTGTTCAGGGCCGCAGTGCTAACTCAATAGCACATTATTGAGATCGGACCGATTATTTGTTATTATTATTATTTGAACATTTTGCGCGCACTTTTGACACCTTTTTTTTTTACACACATATGTGAAAACTCACCAAATTGTGCAAGCGCGTCAGAAGTGTGGCAACTTGAAATATGTAATTGGTTCCGGAACTTTGCGTCAAAAATTGCGTAGGCCACGCCCACTTTAACCCACTTTAACTTTCACGTAAACAAACGAAACTCGCTACGCATATCTAGGGTGCGGAGACGAACCAAAAGCCTCTTGGAGGGGTATAAAATAACGTACAGGAAGTCGGCCATTTTGAATTTGGCGTCCTCCGCACGAAATCTATCTTCTTCTAGGGACTTTATCAGTACGACTCGAAATTCGTCGGGTAGCGTCGGGAGACATGGGCAATTAAAAGTTATCACGGAAAGTGTTTTCTTTCTCACGGCGTAGCCGTGATTTGGCGCCAAGGTTCGCGTTCGCTCGATGCTAGGCGGTCCCTCGCCATGGAACACGATGATGTCATAACGCCAACTGACATGCTCCGGACGCCACCAAACTTCACATGATGGTTAACACTGCGGCCCTGAATAGCTCTCGGTCAAATCTGATGTTACTTAATTTGGCGTTACCATGGCAACGGATCGCTGTAACTCCAATGGACACGGTCCCACCGTCCCCCAATCTTCACTTTTATATCACCGGTCCATGCCTCAACAGTTCTACGTGAAATCTGAGATCTCACAGTATGCCGTTTCCATGACAACGCATCCTTCGCCAAAAAATACGATGTTGTTGTAATTCAATGGAAAATCATCCAAACAGCACCAGACTTCAGACTATCATTAATGGTCCGGCCCTCAACAGCTCTCTGTCAATTATGGGATGTCATCATATGCCGTTGCCATCGCAATGCATCCCTCGCCAAAAAACCTGGTGTTGTCGTAATTCAATGGAAAATCGTCCAAACAGCCCCAGACTTCCGATGATGGCTAATGGTCCGGCCCTCCACAGCTCTATGCCAATTATGGGATGTCATCATATGCCGTTGCCATGGCGACAGATCCATCGCTATGAAATATGGTGTTGTCCTAATTCAATGGAAAATCGTCCAAACGGCACCAGACTTCATATGATGGCTAATGGTCCGGCCCTCAACACCTCAATATGACAATAGTGAGTTTTCCCCAAAAGCTGTTGCCATGGCAACGCACCCCTCGCCGTTAAGTACGATATTGCTATAAGTCCTGTGTAAATGGTCAAAAACTGTTCAAACATTACATGTGTGCTAACCGTCAAGCCCTCGAGACATATATGTGTCAGTTTTCAGATTTCGTCAAATTGAGTTGCTATGGTAACAAAATGTTTGTGTTACTGCTGTAACTCAAAGACATTGTCCGACCGGCCTGAAACTTCCCACGTTTGCCAACGGCCGAGTCCTCGAGACACCTAGACACACACGTCGACGTGCAGACAACATCCTGCGGAGCGTCGAAGACCCGCTCAACGCTGCTTGCAGCTTTAATAATACTTATTATTATAATTCCTAATCATTGATTAAACCATATTATAATGTTTTTGCTGATTGACGTGCTTATTAAATCTACTTTTACATAATGTTGGGTTGCTAGAACAATGCGTTCCCATTATAGCTGACAGACATATCATACTACAGCATCTTCCTCTTAAATGTATTTGGGTAGAAAAATACAAAGTGGCACACAAAGGAAACACTTAAGTATAAATATTTTCAAACTGTTCCTAATAGAGCACTTAAAATGTATGTTCACTACTGATCTTGTACCTTATCATTCATTAAGTAAGATGGTTAACCTTTCATCACTTGGCTAGTATTTTAAACCTTAAGGTTGACAATAGAAAGGTAACTGAGCCCTATTGTTATTCCTCTTTACCTCTTCATTAGTTTGACATGTTTTAACTCACTGTTCTCCTCCTAGAGTCCAACTAATCTTTCCATTTGTGTTGTTTTGCTGCAGGGAAAGCTTGGCGAGCCAGGTGAAGCCGGGCCTAAGGGATTTCCAGTAAGTGATTGGGGCTAACAGAGGTCTTTTTTAGGTCAGTCTTGATTTTTGGGGCAGGACTCTTTTTGGGGGAACAGTGGTGGATGAGCGAGGCCGGAGTGGCAGTCTGTTTATCTAGTGGGTTTTGCTGCATTTCAACAAGTTACGAATACCAATAGTGTTTGTGTTATAAACACCTGTGTTATTTTCAGGGTGTTCAAGGACCCTCGGGTCCTCCGGGGGCCAAAGGAATTGCAGGAGAGCCAGTGAGTTTACTATTTGTTTGCATTCATTTGGCTTCCATATTTGAGAATCAACCCCATTCTTAAAGACCTACTGTCTTGCTATGTTTTTTTTGTGTGTTTTCAAATTCATCTGGTGTAAAAATTATATTACATTTTAAGTAAAAAGTTTCAGAATGTGTGGAGAGGATACCGGCGGTATCTCAACATTATCTATAATAGCCTATGGCTTTCCATCACCTGCTGTGAACTCCTCTTCCTGCACTTTGCATAAAAACTCTGAATTTCCACAATTATACACCTTTTATTAAGTGACTCCTTGAAACCCTGTATCCTGGTCAAAAAGCCCAGAACAAGCTATTCCTCTTCCTCCCATTCGGCCCCAGTCTCAGACACAAAAAGAGAAAGTAGTGAGTCTGAAACACTTTGATTTACACCACCCTCTTCCTGGAGGAGCAGCTTTATTGTAGCCTGAGTGTGTCTCTATAACAGCAGGCCTGTTCCCATCACTTACAGAAGCTTTGGCTCAGTGTTTTCAAGGCCCTCCAGATTAACTTATCTCCACAAGTCCACACTTTCTGCCCGGTTCTTATTTCGTTTCACACTTTTCCTCCTTTACTGTCTCTTTGCAGAGGCATTTATCAGAGATAAGAAAGCAGTCTTAACCTTTTCATTGGTGCCTGTGTTTTGTCACCGCAGGGACCGGCTGGGCCACCAGGAACGATCGGGCCACTTGGGGAGATGGGGCTGAGGGTGAGTTTAATCACACAGCTGGTGTGGTGGCTCCCATTGACTGTTAAGATAACACTGAAAAACTAATGGCTGTTTTGACCAGGGGCCGCCGGGGAAGGCTGGAGAGAGAGGGCTGTCTGGTGAACCCGGAGAGAAGGTGACGATGACAATGTGCCTCTGACATTTGCGTTATTGGTATTTTGGGTTGGTTGATGTACATGGTTATTGCTTCCCACTGCATTGAATTATAAACACAAAACATTTTCTTGTACAGAAATGATCATTAGGATTACTGGCTACAGGTTCATATATACATTTCATAGTCAAATGTGTAAAAGTTCATTAAACAAGGTACTGCATGTAACAAAGAGTTTAAATGATATTATATTATAAACTGCTTTGAGTTGGCTGTGGTGTGCCTACTGTATATGCCTGCACTCTCTAAGAAATCACCGACTTCAGTTTTCCCATTCGCTGAAAAATTGGCAATTTTAAACAGCATATTCTTACATTTCTTTGTGGATATCAAATAAATACATTTTTAGTCCTTGAATATTATTGAGTCTGTACCTTAAAGCAAACGTCATTGAATTGATTTATTTAAAACAAGGGATAGTCTACATTAATCAACATATTAAAAACATGTAAAAGTACTCGAATTAGCCAAAAGGCTAGTTTTCATCGATAGTCCCTTTGCCAGATGGTGATAGACATCCTAAAAGCAATAATAAAAATACCACAACATTGTTATACCATTGTACATATTTACAATAGATGACATCACTGAATACAGATAAGAGCAAGTCATGATAATAAATAAATAAAACATTTACAATACACACTCATACACACACCTACACCCACAGATCAGTGCTGACACTGTTGGTTTTCAATGAGCCACTTTTTAATACTGTGCTTGAATGTGTAGTAGGATGAGGATTCTCTTATTGGCTGTGGTATTGAATTCCATTGATGGGATGCGTGGAATGAAAAGACAGCCTGGCTGAATGCGCTTTTCCTAAATGGGATGGTGCAGTCTCCCCTAGCCGCACCTCTAGTAGCCCTGGTTGAGGTGGACTTTAGGCTGATGAAGCCAGCCAGAGGAGGAGGAGCCAACCGGTGGTAGAATAGAAGTACTTTGAGTTGTTACTTGCATATAAGTAGCAATACTCATTGTACAAATATTATGTGAAAGTGACAAGTGAAAGTCCTGCATACAAAATGTTACTTAAGAAAAAGAACAAAAGCCTTGGCATCAAAATATAACTAAAGTACTAAAAGTGAAAGTACTTGTTAAGCACAATGGCCCTTTTCAGAATCATATATTTTAAATAACTGAATTTAGATTTTGTATTAACCAATGAGCATCACAGCTTGTAAACGGAAGCTCATTTTAATTACTTTACTGCTGCTAGATATCTTGACCTATACATAGGTTTCAGTTTTTATTTATTAGACGATATATTTGTTTTAGAAAATAATCTGATGCTGAAAAGCAATTTATTGAAGGTGTCAGAAAAATGTAGTTGAGTAAAAAGTTCAATATTTGCTTCCAAAATGTACTAGAGTAAAAGTATAAAGTATAATTATGCTCAATGAAGTACTACCAACAGATAGTAAACTTGAGTAAATTCTTTACTCATGTACTTCCTTACATTAAACCCCGTTGAGGAGTACAGTTTGAGATTAGCATTGGGATCTTCTGCATCATTGGTATTTACTTTTCCTTAACATCCAAAAAAGGAAACATTTTTCTTATTTATTTTTAATGTTAACGACTAGTTTGAGTGAGTCATACTTAAAGGATGCTTGCACAGCAGTGGAGTGTGTGTGTGTGTGTGTGTGTGTGTGTGTGTGTGTGTGTGTGTGTGTGTGTGTGTGTGNAGAGTGTGGGTGAGGAGCTACACGGATTGGTCCATTTCGGTATGGTCACGTCACTGTACCCACGAAGAAAATGATAAATCTCCAACAAGGCGTTCTGGGGCAGCCCCCAGAACGCCTTGTTGGAGATTTATCATTTTCTTCGTGGGTACAGTGACGTGACCATACCGAAATGGACCAATCCGTGTAGCTCCTCACCCACACTCTGTCAGCGGCGAAACTGTGACGCGCTGGGGGGGGCTAGTGGAGCCTCGCAGCGGCAAAACTGTGGCGCGCTTACACTGTAGGTGCGCAACGGGTGCTAGTGGAGCCTCGCAGATGGGGGTGCCGCAGCCCCCTCAGCACTCCCGCGTCCATTCGCGATGTTTCGCTGTCTCGCAGACCCCACGCCGCAAGCAGAAAATGAACCCAGCTCACAATGTCCGCTCCTCACAGCAGCGAGCCGCGCAACGTCCCGCCAACACGGCACCCAGACCCCACGCAGCATTCTCATCTGTTTCTCATTACTGGTGTCATTTTCTGGTTGCTAACGCCATTGTAACACATAATCACTGATGTTCCGCTGTAACGTGGTGGACTCATCAGGACACAGTGGGCTCATAGGGAGTGTGGGGGGCAGGAGCTCCAACAAGCCGTTTAGGACAGAGTGAATACACATACTATACAGAGATGCTGTATGATGTGAGTTTGGAAAACTGCACAATATAAATCTATTCTAGTATACCTCAACAATGGAATTATGATCAGTAGAAATGGCCATGACATGGGACCTTTAAAAAGAAAGTGAATATTTCCCAAAATATTAATACAAATGTACTAGTCCTTAGAACATGGTCTTGTCTTCAGTCTAAAAAGTGCATTTTCTTTGAATCATTCAACACATATTTTTCAATAATGGATCCTGACATGTTTGTTTTCATTGGAAACTTTGGACCCTTGATTTGAATTTAATACCACGTTTGAAAATCATTTGGCTGTACAACATGAGTTCATAATGAAGGACCCCCCGGCGGGTCGGGCCGGGTTCAGAGGATGAGGCAGAGTGAGGCTGACATGCCTGAAGCTGTTAATGGAAATCAACCTGGCAGACTGACATCCCATGTTGATCAAAAGAATAATGTTGATCTGGTGAATCATCTCATATTAAAAGAGTACATTAACAAGGTGCCATTGGAACATTTCAGAAATGGTATCCCATCTGTCCCACAGTTACATACAAATAATCTGAGATTGAGGCCTCTGATGTCATGATGATGTGAGAACTGATGCTGTGACCATCAGCAGGAAGCTAGACTGCACAGAAGTATGCAGCAGAGAGATGAAAACACCCATGAGTTAATCTATGACAAATAGCCAAAGCTTGTTCCTGGGTCCAATAAAAAAAATCTGACTGGAAAAAGACATATACGGTACACAATTTGAAAGGCACCTATTTTTTAGGATCACACATCTCTGTTGCATCTCCTGCAGTGTTTGGAGATAGAGTAAAGCCAGATGCTGGTCCACGGGCCACAGTAACTCTATGAGTTGACGCTTTTATTTTCCATTTCTGTCAAAGTCCTTATTAATGATTATTTGTCTATTTATCTACTGACAGACAGCACTGTGCTTTGAGTTGGAAATATCTGACAGGGGTTTGGGGAGTAGACAAATCTCCTGCTGCAGCCATAACAAAGAAAAAAGACAAAAGAATGTGCCTGAGCCTTCCAGCAAGTCCAATACAACAGAGTACAGTAAAGTAAGAGGAAGTAAGTGTGTGCGTGCATGCATCTTCAAGTGTTTCATATGGACTCAAACTAATTGGACAGCTTTCCCAGTTCTCTAAGTCCATTGTGTTTCACACAGATGGCAAAGGAATACATTCTCCATTAGTTCTCCCTCTTTATGAACTACAAACATCTTCAATTAGTGTAACTAACACCAGATCAACCACGCAGCCAACAGGCAAAGTGCAGCAGCGACAGCATCTCCCTCGCTTACAGAATAAGTAACAGACTTCATGACAGGCGGAAAAAATGTTCTTTCCATATATTATTTGTTTCATTACCCAAAAACTTGGTCCCACCTGGCAAGCCTTACAGTGCTTCCTTGGATAAATCACACTCAGCAAATAAAGGTACCCTGAAAGAATGTTATGTTACAAAGCTGAAGAGCAGGAAGGTGCTATTCCAGCGTGCCATGATAGAGTTGGCTGTGTAAAAGGCACACTGGTCCAGGGCTGGTAATACTCAGTGTTTTAGTCGCATAGTTTTAGTATGACACGCAAACACGAGTCTCTTCTTATTTTACAGTGCAGACCTCTGACTGACTCCCAGGCAACCTCCCCATTACATCTCTACACATTTCCCACAGTGAGAAAGGCTTTCTCTGGCAGCGGGCCAAAGACTGAGCACAACACTCAGAGAAAAGGGTCCATAAAGCAGCGGCAGGTCGTGGTTTTACTGGCTGAATCAAGAGAACAAACCTTCAGCTAAGTCTGTGCCACATGGAATTTTGCTGTAATTTGAATACAAAAGTGCACTGTAAGGAGTTTTGGCTCCCAGTGCCGAGTACGATCAAAAAAAATCGAAGGGAGTTATGAACAGCTGCAAGCAATGAGGTGTCTGGTGGCTTTTCAGATTGTCTTGCTTTTATGAGCTGGATACAAGCTACATAATCAAACTTTGCATGGCTTTCAGCAGAGTGTGTTTTAAGGTTAACAAAGACCTGATCAAAGGGGAGCACAATACCACCTGAACTGATCATCAGAAAAGGGAAAAAAGGATCTGTTACAACCGCGTCAACTCAGCCAGGATGCCTGTCCACACCCAGCAAAGATCCTCAATTACCATAAATCAGCAGGAGAGCTATCAGCTTTTTCCCATGACTCCAAGTTGCATGACTCACAAGGCAAGAAGAGGTCTTCCTCCTTCGGCAGGCCTCCCCCTTACTACACTGAACGGAGGATCCTTGAGTGCAACAGATGTTTTTTCAGTTAGCGATGTCCAATTTCATAATAGATTGTTGGAGCTCCTGCCAAGGCATTATTACAGTATTGTGTCCCAAATGACGACAGAAGTTTGTGAACTTGTCTAAGAGGGAAAGTTGCTTACAAATTATTCTCATACTGTGTGACAGTTTTTTTCTAATTAGCATTCCTCTAGCATTAGAAACCTGACCTTACGTTGACCCTTTATTGTTCCGAGAACACATTTCTCCAGAGTATACTTCTGACAGCAAACATTAAACGTTGTAGTGTGATGGTAAACTGCTGAGTCTCATTTAAAAAAGCCCTGTCTGAGGTTCTCTTTCCACAAGCTTTTGTTTTTCCAAACAGATGTTGCAGGTAACTCAGAAGAGTTTCCCTTGCCTTTGTAAATATTCTGTTCTTGGTTCTCATTATTCACAATATGAAAACATTATGTAACCTGCAAAGATATTTACATTTATATAAAGACTACAATAATTCAATTCCTCTTCTAAATCTTGGGGATTCCCGAGCACTAAGTTAGCAGGGTGGGTCTCCCATCTTGAAAAGCTGATAATTAAATCATACATTTAGGTTTCAGTGAAGAGTTTATGTGTCACACAATGATGTAAGTGCTGTTTATGCCTTTCCCCCCTGCTAACAAGATGAATCTGGGGTAATCTGGGGATTTATGAACGTTTTGGCCATGAAATCAACTGCACGGTGTTGGGTGGTGATTGATAGCAGAGATGGCAGAGTTGTGGAATACTTTTTGAGGCCTGCTAAATGGGTATTACTCATACAGGCAGCTAGCAAACCGTACACTAGAGTTGTGGTGTAGATTATAGGAGTGAAACTACAAACATGGTGGGAAACATCCCTTCCAGTCCATTGGCTCTGTTTGGAACACCATTTATTGATACTCGGACTCGACCAAACAATATCAACGCTTCTCAGTAGCACAGTATAGATCTGATAACCATGGTTAAAGGCAAAGTAGTAGGAGGCAAACTTTTCCTATTGAAGATGTGGCAAATATTGTTTGAGGAGATTATTATGAAACAGTTCCTTAAAACAGCATTGGTCTTGTCAAGTTGTATTTGTGGTTAACCAGGCAACGCTACTGATAAGTGTTCTTAATGTTCTATAGCTATTAAGTTTGTCTTTGCTATGTACCCTTATAATAACTTTAAAAATCTCCATGAGCTGTTTAATAGTTTGCATCTTCATAGGATCCTCAATGTCAGAAGACGGGCTACGGCATGGTATATGGTATTTTCATGGGATTTGCTGACTATAAATAAAACTTGAGGTGCAATTACTGTGGTGTGGGGGGGGGGAACAGGGTTTGGGAAAAGGCCAAGGATAAAATGCACAAGGATAAAATGCACAAGGCCACAGAGAAAAGGCTCTGCTGGTAACCATCACTCTCTGTCAGGATAACACAGCTCAGGCAAAGCAGTCAAATAACGGGGACAAACAATCTCGAGCAGGACCAGATTACAATCACAACTTGTCCTACGTTTAAAATAACTGTTCTCCAGATAGGGGATTACATAACATGTGTTTAGCGGAAGAGCGTAAAACCTTAGAGGTGGGGTAGGTAAGTTTGAGAAACCGGCTCGAGATACACTTTTTGTTATATTCCATGGAATGCTCTTAACATCCCAATAGCAATGAATATCTTAAGTGCTTTGACAAAAAATCCATTAAAAAAATGTCATCTGTGGAAAGGGCCCCCCCCCCCCGTAGTACCTTTTAAAAAGCGCACAACCATCATCTGAGCACGGCCCGGCTGACTAAA